CAATAAACAATAGCTTTGCTGTGGGCACGCTTCGTAAATAAGACGGAAAAAGCAAATGTATTATAAGACTCTAACAAATACGGCCCACACAATGGCATAGTTTCAAATTCCTCCCTACTTCCCTAACTCGATTATTTGATACAGATTCCCGCCAGTCAATGTCGATTTTGCCCCTTTCGCTAAATTAGATTTTAGATGCCTCTTTGAAGGGTTGAAGGGTGAAAGGTCGACTAGAATAAAAAGATGGGCTATCAAATAAATCGTAAATACGCCACTACACTACCCTTTTTACGACTGATCGTGAATAATATACCGTCCTTTTCAACACCCGTAAGCAATGCGAGGAGAAAAGTATTTTTACCAAATTGACAATATGCTATTCTTTTCACAAGACAGCCAGGGACGTTTTACAGGAAAAAGAATAATAAACGACAGCGTTGTCACCCACTTCCTTTCAGGTTTACATAAATTGAGATGGTGGTTAAAACAAGGAAGCGCAGGGATGTTTTCACAAAATATTAAATTATTGTCTAGAGAATGTTGTTTTGTTGGCATATTATAATTATAAAGCACTTTAACTGTTGGAATTAGAATAATACTTGCAGAGCGATTGGTACATTTGAAATCGATTTCAGAGGAAATAAAAATATTTTTGGGTTCGGATAGCTGTGTCCTAATAACAGTCAGTATGGGCTGTGGTTGACAGCGTTTGTCCTGAGCAGGAGCTACCGGGAGTATAAATGAGAAAAACGATGATTTTTGAGTCACTATCTTTGTAATTTTTACCACTTGGTACTTTCTGGCATCGGAGTGGGCCTGCACTTTCAAAGTCCATCCAGGATATTGCTATACGTAGAGATAAATCAGGAATAACTAAAGGACTCCGCTAGGTCCTTACGGAAAATGACCCTCTGATGTTTCCCTTCTTGTAAATCAAAAGTCAGAATTCGTAAGAACTCTTTCTTTTTAAAATATAATCCCTTAAAGTAACATTCCTCCATAAGGACTTCCAAGGTGCAACTGTGCTTCCCGAAATAAATATTTTCAATTTCTCAGAGTCTCTGAAAGCGAGACTCGAGTCTCCGTCTCTCATCGAGTCTCTCTGGTGTCGCTGAGAGAGACTGTCAAAAAACTGTTTAGCGTCTCTGAACGAGAGACTCGAGTCACACATACAGAGATCCTCGCTTCGTATCCAGTTTCTGAATGAGAGACTCGAATATCTCAATAAGTGGTGTCTCGATAAACCATTGTTTCAGTGATCCCAATCTTTCTACGAGAGACTCGAGTCTCTCAATTTTTCAGTTTTATTCATTCAGTCTCTCTGTGAGAGACTCCAATCTCTGAATTAACAATTTTATCGTTCGAGTCTCTCATACAGAGGCTGTGAGAGATCCATTTTTGCTATAGTATACGTACTTACTCGAGATAATAATCTTCAGTCTCTCAGAGTCTCTGAAAGCTAGACTCAAATCTCCGTCTCTCATCGAGTCTCTCTGGTGTCGCTGAGAGAGACTGTCAAAAAAACTGTTTAGCGTCTCTGAACGAGAGACTCGAGTC